CTTCAGCTCTTTTGCCACACCTGTGAGGGACGTGCCTAGAGAGACGCTAACACAAGCAGTCTCTAGACAGCTAGCTAGGCACGGGCCTGCAACCTCTGCCATAGGCTCATGTGGTTTGGGAGTTTCTTGTTCGCGCGCTCGCTTCCCCACATGACCTTAAGTAGGGGCAGTTGCGACCCCTACTGGCGACTGCCTTTTGATTGCTGAGCAGCCCATCGGGCCTGTCTGTACTGAGGACAAACTTTAATTACGTGGGCCGGGTCACCACAAAACACCCACTGGCCCAAGTTCACACGTTCCTGCCATACGCGTTGGTCCAAGCCCAAGTCTTCCCAGGGCCTGCCCTGTGGCAAGCGTGGGTGCCATCCTCCTTGAGGTGGCCTTCCACCTCGTCGCTGTGGGGACCGACAAGAACCCTGACGATTCGGCGGGGGACCTTGACCCCTACCTCCCACTTTGCGGTTCCCTTGTCCGCCAACCCCCTGTGCGCCTGGTCCTCGGCCTCCCATGGCCTGGCCCCTTTGGCCCTGGCCTCCTCCTCTACTTTGCGGCCTCCCTCCAGCTGCAACAGCAGCATAGGACCTCCCCTGCCCCACACTACTGCCCTCCTCCTCAAGGCCCCACTCGATCTGGCTATATGGGACCTCATCTGTACCACCCTCCTCTAAGGTAAGGATCATGTGATCCTTGGCCCTGACTTGACCAGAGATGGTACGACCCTTCCACTTCTTTCCTTTGTCCAAGTCCTTGTGCCAGAAAGTGGAAACTGGCATGGACTTTGACTCATACAGGACCACCTCTCTACTCAGCACATCATAGGTGTTGTTGGCCTGTTGAGACCTCTCAAAGAAATGCCCACGCAGGGGCTCTGGCATGGCACGATAAAATAACTGGACCAATTGGGGCTCCGTGACCCCGTGGTCTGGGACGACTACCAAGTCGTCCGTAACGCCCTTGAGTGCTCTTGCACTCCTCCACTGTCGCTAGTGGATAGTCTGTAATTTGTCAGAGGCTTTAACGCCTCTCGTTGGGTCAGAAATCGCTCCCTCAGGAGCTTGAAGAAGTGAGGAAGGGTGGTGATCTTAGAATATGCAACCATGTTGTTATCACAACTGGCTGCGCGCGCAAGAGATCTTGCAAAACTGGCCGCTTCATCTTTAAGGGGCTGGAAGGCAACGAGGACTTGCTCCTCAGTCAAAATGTGTTGTAGGTACACGTAGCTATTGACGCTTGCCTCCCAGTTATCAAAATTCTCCTCCTCCTTTTCCCCGTATGCATCTGGGAATTTAAGCTTGACAGGCTCTTTACGGGGCCTGGCTTCACCCTTTGGCACCCTTGATGGCACCCTCGCAGAACTTCCCCATGCTGTCCCTCAGTCGCCTAACTTCGCCTCCAACGTGGGTGACCATATCGCGCGCGAAGTCTCTAAATCCTGATTGCATGACACTCAGGGCCACATCCTGACCCCTATTGGCTTGGCGCTCCTCTAACCAGGCCGCACTCAAACACTGCCAGATAACCCAACACTTTATCGATCTTGGCAGACATGTCTGTCTGCGCCTGCACTTCCTGTCTGCAATCTCTCATTTTTGCCACCTCCTCGGTCAGCCTATTAACTTCGTCCCTCCTTCTCTTCTTCTCCCTCTTCATCCTCAGTTTCCACTCCAACTTCTTCTCTTCTTCTCTTTCTCTCTGTTCCAGGGGGTCCTCCATTGCCGCTAGCTCACTGACTAACGCATCCCTCTCATCCTGACGTACATAAAACTTTGCCTCCTCGTCTTCTCCCAACGATAAATTAGCGATCCACTCACTTATCTTCTTCTCCATTGCGGCATCCTCATTTGTCGTGCCACTACTTTCTCCTCTCTCTTCTATACGTCTTCTCTCTTTTTCTTCTTCTTCTGCTGCTTCCTCTTCGGCAGCCTTTCTCTTTTCTTCCTCCTCCTGCTGAATCCTCATCATCTCTTCCTCCAATCTTTTCCTCTTTGCCGCCTGCTCCTCTGCAATCGCCTTCAACTTCCTTTCCTTATTGTCTCTCACTAAGGCGGCCATCTTCTCTTGTTGCTCCTGGATGTAGGGGCTAGTGCTCTTCCCACTACGCAAGTCCACCATGGTGATAGGTGCACAATCAGAATGATTCCACTCCTCACCACTTAGACTCTAACCCCTGACTAACAAACCTACTGACTCAATCTAAGACTCACAAAATCTGGACAAGGATCCTGCCAACTAGGGTCTCTAGCCCAGACCTATACTATGGTTGTTACTACTAGACCTGTTGCTGATCAGGAGGCATTTAAGGAGATCCCCCGTAACTCCTCACGAATTATTTAACGTCGCAAACAGGACGACGCGATCAGCAGGTCTCTCAACACTTAGACGGCCTGTTGTGCAGCCCACAACTCGGATTTTGGGCCTACCGTGCAACACCGAGCAGCCCGTCGGTCAGTACCGGTCCTTGGGAGGGTTCGTGTCCTCCGGGACAGTCGAGTCGTCAGACACAGTCTTTAGCCCTACTCAGCCCATGTGGGTTTGGTCAACAAGGCCCTATCCTTCATCCACAGAGTACTATCACCTAGACAGAAGAGACTCGATGCAGAAAGAAGAGACAGACAGACTGGACTCAGCAAGTACCACAGGGTGTGTGCACATCCATAGGGCGAGGGATAGGCTGAAGGCTTGGCGAGATTTTACCGGCTCCAGCTTGGTCAAAGTCTTGGTCAACGACTTGGTCAACGCTGGTCAACGCTGTGGTCAACTCCCGGTCAACCCCCGGTCAACTCCGGTCAACGCCGGTCAACACCTCCGGTCAACCCTTCGGTCAGCTATGGCTGCCGGCTTCTCTTTCCCTCACCAACCTCCTTCTTCCCTTCACCTTCCTCACCTCCTTTCACCCTGCTGTCTTCTTTCTCTTTCTTTTTTTTTTTTTTTTTTTTGATTGTCTCTCTCTTTGCCTCCTCGGCTATGGCTTCTCTCTCCTTTCTCAGTCTCCCCCTCTGTCCACTCTCTCTCCCTCCTTCGTCACTCCGTGGTCACGCTCCGCGGCTATGGCCGCTATCTTCTTCTTCGTGGAACTGCGCAGCAACCTCACAGGTACGTAACAGCCAAACTTGTATCGCTCATCTCTCTCTCTCTCTCTCTCTCTCTCTCTCTCTCTCTCTCTCTCTCTTGCCGTAGCGGTATCTCCAGCGCAGCAGGTACGTAGTAACCCAATCTTGAATCGCTCAACCTCTCTCTCTCTCTCTCTCTCTCTCT